TACATTGTATAATTTCGATTGTAAGTAACAATAATTTAATTAATCATACATATCTATTATATGCAATATTGAAATCATTATCATTTCTATAATAATATTATTATCTATAATTCCATTAGAGGAAATCAAACATTAAGGACTTAGGTTATGAATCATTAATAAAAAATAGTTCAAACAAAAGAACTTTTATTAATAAAAATTTTTTGGAACCAAGCGAAGAACATATTTTAAATCACAATGATAAATTTTAGTCAAGACTTGAGAGGGCTTTATTGGTAAGTAGTATAAATCAATTAATTTACATATATGTTTATGTTTTGTATATTTGATTAATATTTTATTTATTCAATTATATTTATATAGAAATGCAATTTTTTGAAGATGCCAAAATTGAACTTGAAAATTAATTTAGAGAAGTAAAGAGTTGTAATAACAATGACAATAATGCTGGTAATGATGATGATAATAATATTATTATTAAAACAAGACAATTCAATAACAACAACAACAACAACAACAACAAAAAATTAATACTTTTGAAACAACCACCACCAGTTACAAGAAAAGTTGTTATGATCCATCCTGGCCTACAAAGGCACAATGCTGAGATTGCTAAAATGGAAGCTAAAGCAATCCCATATGTTGTATTTTCAAATGAAAAGGTTGTTTTATCAGAAGCCAAAAAGCTGATAACCATTGGGTGTGACCTGAAAGCCAATTTGAGAATTAACCACCCATCTGTTGCAAGTGTACAATGTATACTTAAAATTGTAAGTAACAATAGCTTAATTAATCATTCATATTTATTATATGCACATATTGAAATCATTATAATTTCTATAATAATAATACTATCATTTGTCATCCATTAGAGAAAAACAGACAACATGCATTATGTCAAGGAATTAGATTTTGAAACAGTTATAAAAAATGGCCAGAACAGGAAAACTTTTGTTAATAGTAAACAGTTGGATTGGGATGAGAAATTGGTTTTAAATAATAATGATAAAATTTACATCAAGGTTGAAGAGGACATTTTTGGTAAGTAGTATAAATCAATTAATTTATTCAATTATGTTTATATAGAGGTACAATTTTTTGAAGATGTCAAAACTAATACTTACAATCGATTTTTAGAAGAAAAGAATCATTTACCTGCTCAATCAGGAGAAGATATCATGTTATAAATAATGAAGATGGTAGTAATAATGATAATAAAATTGGCAAATCATGCATTGTTAAAAAAGTTAGATCAAATAACTGTAGTGACAAAAACATTTATGCTGCTAAAGTTATCCATGTCAGTGATGGAAAATATGACAAAACCAGAATAATTGAATATAGAAATGAAATTGATATTTTGAAAATATTGGACCATGAGAATATTATAATGAGGAGAATGTAGTGGAGGAAGTCATGAGGACTATATTAAAACATTAAATGGTTTTATAAATTTCCAACATTGGAAAAATTTGACTTTCCAAATTTGTTCAGCTATAAAGACAAGAACATTTTATTATAGTTTTATTAATATTGTATTCAAATATTATATTTTATCATTTTAAACATTACCATAGTTGTATATCTTTTATACTAGATATAGTAACATTTTAATTTTTTTTATTCCCTCTAGTACATTCATGAGAATCACATAATGCATTGAGACATCAAACCTGACAACATCATGTTTACAGATTCTAATTTTAATCAAGTTAGGTTGATTGATTTTGGTGAGTCAAAAAAAATAGAAGGATCTATTGACAGCATGGGCAATTATATTGAACAGACCAACACAGATTTAGTTGGGACACCCTTATTTGTTGTGCCTGAACTTGCCAAGGCATTCAAAGATAGAATTGCGATGTTTACAACAGATAATGATAGTGATGGTGATACTTCTCAATATGAATATGACAAATCTATTGATATCTGGTCATTTGGGATAGTAAATTACTATATGCTGTCAAAAAAATATCCTTGGAATGTTAATAATCATGTTAAAGGAGTGGAAGGAAGATCAAAGGATTGTATTGAGCTTTATGACAATATAATGAAAGGTGACCTAGGGTTTTCCACATTTAAAACAACTAGAAGTGATATTAATGAAATTAAAACTGTTGTAGATTTTATTCTTAAATTGTGTCAGGTAGATAAAGATCAAAGGATGTCATCCTGAACAAGTGTTGCAACATACAATATTTAATTAATTTAAATTTTCAATCATAATGGTAAAAATGTTATTTGCTTATTGAAAAAGTCTGGTGATTTTTATAAATTCAATTTAAATAATAAAGTTCATATGATGACTTTCTCTCTATTACTATAATAATAATGATTTAAATATTTTACTCTAATATTTAATTAAATTTCTGTATAATAATAATGGGCTCATATCACATATTACTTGCCTAAAAGTTTTAAAAAATTTATGATAAATAAACTTATGATAATTAAAACTTATGATAATTAAAACTTATGATGATAAACTTGATAAAAAAACTTACAGTAAAAAAACATGATTTGTTTTTTCAAATTAAATTTCTTTATATATTGTTACCAGAATTAGGATTTAACGCTGATTTGTTGGCCGAAATATCCTAATTCCGAATCAAATCTTTTATTTCTATTTTTACTTTATTTTACTTTATTTTATATCTACATTTATTTATTTCATTTCTTATTTTATTTTTATTCGTATTTATTTACATTTTTATTATTTTGTTAAAATGATTCAAGAAAAAGTAAGTTAAGCTATCTATTCTTTTATGAAGATTTCTAAATTTTAATTATAGATGAATTGTCCTTTTCGAATAAAATTGAATTATTGACCAAGATATTCAACATAGATATAACGCAGATATTGAATTGGATCCAATAAAATTTTGCCAATTAATCAAGGAGAGTGGACCAAAATTAGAAGGATTTTTTGATGAAATGTTAAATATAATTCCTGCTAAAAAAGCAATAGTTGGTTATTGTTATCTTTTAGCAGGTTTAAGGAATAAATTTGTAAATACCTTCAAATTGGACCTTGGTCTTTATTTAGCAGAAAATGGTACAAGTGCTGCTGCAATTGAGACATTATCAAATGCAGATATATCTGCATCATATACAGTGTGTAATGAAAAAAATTGACCTCCAATGATGCAAAATTCAAAAGCATACAGTTTCACGAATAAGTAATTAAATCCCATCCAATTAAATCAAACAATCATACTAAACCCCTGTGTTGTAAAAACAAAATTTTTGAACCATCAATCTTAGTTTGGTCAACATAAAAAAATGTCATCAAACAAGCTCGATTTGCAACGTTCAACACTTCTTTATTATTGGAACCAAGGAATACATTCTCCAAAGGAACTTCACACAAAAACTAACATTCCCCTATCAACAGCCAAATATAATATTAAAGAAACCGGAGATGTTTCACATAAGGGAGGTAATGGCCGTCTAAAAAAGATAGGATCAGCAAGACGCAGTACATTTGCAATGACAGTTCCACATCTTTGCGAACCCTGGCAATAAAATTATCCAATAATGAAAATTCTGTATTGCATATGGCTGTAGCAAGAAGATTGAAAGAGCTTGGCTACAAAAATGCACTTCCAACTGGTACCCCAATGCTCACAGTTAACCACAAGGCAAGGCGAGTTGAATGGGCTAGGAATCACCTAAATGATATTTGGGAAAGGACCTTGTTTTCTGACGAAACAGCCTTCCATCTGTTTAGGAACACAATAAAATGATGGTATAGGGGTCCAAAACCTATTCGGCCACTTCCTAAAGACCGACAAAAAGTCTTTGCCTGGGGTGGGTTTTGTGTTAAAGGGAAGACTAGCTTGTTTTGCTTCACTGAGATCATGAATGGAGAGTTTTATGTTGAATTTTGCGCCAGCACCTTCCAGAAATCCAAAGGATGCTTGGTAGGCGGTGGAGATTCCAACAAGACAATGACCCGAAGCACACTAGTCGGGTTGCCAAAAATTTCCTTGATGAGTACTTCCCTGAAGTCATCGATTGGCCAGCTAACAACCCAGACCTTAATCCCATAGAAAACCCATGGAGCATTGTTAAACGTAATGTAGAAAAGCGTATGCCAGCAAATCTTAGCAAGTTGCGGCAGTATTTGGTCGAGGAATAGGAAAAAATTCCAAGTCTTATGTTGTCTAACCTTGTTTCGTCAATGAATAATCATTGCCAGATGATAATTGATAGTAACGGCGAACGAATCAATTATTAATATATATATCAATAAATTTCTTGGTTTTAGGCTTTTAAACAAGCTATTGTATGCTCAATTTAAATAAATATTTATAAATAAACAGAGGTCAATTTTTTTCGTTACACACTGTAAAACCATTGAAAATTATAAAAAAAAAATAAAAGCAAACCACCCTAAAAGAAATTGAAAATTATTTTGCCAATAATGTAAGTTAATTAAATGTTTAATTTTATTTAATAATTATCAAATTAAATTCACGTTTTATAGTTTAGTGTGCACTCGATGGACAAAAGTTTGTACCCAAAAATTATTTTGAGATTTTCTCAAAATTATATTAAATAAATATTTGTGTCCTTTACATCATTTCAAAGTTCTGGTTCTTGAGAAAGTTTTTTATTAATAACAAATTTTTATCTTGCGAAATTTTTATTATGAAAAAATTAAAAAAAAATTTGACTTTAAAATTATAAAATGGATGATCAATTTTAAATTTTATGTCCATTGAGTAAGTAAACGTTGATTTCCCAAACCTATAATTGGTGTTTCTGATGATGATAAAAAAATTTTCGATTAATCAATAAAAAAAAGCAAACCAATTATAATATTTTATTATTATTTTTATAATAATTACCATTTTCCGATTTTTCACGCTCTTGTTCTTTTGCTGATCTTTCAGCATTTGCCTTTTCTAATGAATCAACCTAAAATAATGGCAAATTATATATTTAATTTTATTTTCAAACATTGCTAAAATATCTCTATGTATCTATATTATTAATTATTTTACCTTAAGAGAGAATTCGCGTAAAACTTGGATCAAATATGGCATAGCAAAGTCATTAAGACCATGTCTCCATGCTAACTCCAATACAATATCTGGTCTAACAAAATCATAACAAACAAATAAACAAGAAGTGAAACATTCTTTGTTTCCTATTTGCACAAAGTATTCTAAAAGTTCTTCTGCTACTTCAATTGAACGTGATTCACTGGCTGTTTCAATCGCATCTTTGAAAAGTCTATCCTCTTTAGACAACGCAATTGATTGTGACCAACGTTTATTCTTTTTGTAGAGATGTGCTGCAATTCTACGGAATTCAAGAAGACTATGTTTTTCAAGTCGTTGTGCTAATTTGATATTATCAAAATTGTCAAAACTATCAATTGAATCTCTCAGTGCATTATAATCTTCCTCTTCAATCAATATATCATTATATGCATCATTAACCGATTCATTGTTTGCCTTGAATGGATAGCAAAAAGGTAAAGAAATAAGTGCCAATTAATATTCTAAATAATATTATTATCTTTATTAATGAATAAATATGGTATATACATACTTCTTGTACTGATATTAAGTATGATCTTATCAATGGAATGTTGTCTGATTTTTGGAACATTTGGACAACTCTTGTATGATCAATTCTTGGAGTTAATGCACTAAGAAGATCATTAAGTAAAAGAGGATGCTCATCAAGATAGAATTTCAAAGCCTATGAAAAATGAAAATAAAAGGTTGATGATAAATTAAAGCATGTTTTTAATATATATACATATGTATATAAACATGTAATTTAAATAAATTGAGATTAATACCTTATAGTAAATTTCAATATTGCTAACTTTAACAATTATGTCTTTGAAGCGTGAATGTTCCCAAGCATCAGCTGCATGTTGAATCATTGCAAGAGAAGCATTATCAAATTCATCATAATGTTCATATAAGAAAACCAATTCACTCCATAGATGAGCTTCATCACAAGCTCTAATTACTTTAGGAATATTAAGTCGTGACCAGAAGATTCGTAAATGCTCATATGTTTTCTCAGGCCGATATTTAGTATACAAAATGCCCAATTCAGTAAACATTCCCATGTGTGCTCTTTCAAGACCAGATCCTGCTTCTAAAAGTGATAATAATTCATCTATATAGCCATTATTCTCATATAATCTAGTCACACTCTAAATAGCAACAATATCATTACTATTGTTTATTTTTTTTTATTAAATAAAAGTTATATAATATAACTTACTTGTAATTCTTCTGCATGGACAACGAGATTAAGACCACAAATATGTGCCAAACGGAATTCTTTATGTTGAACACAAGCACCATGTACATCTTTCCAAACCCTATTTAATTAATTAATAATATTATATATAAATCAACCAACAATCAATCTAAATCAAGCAAATTTAAATTCATAAAAACAAATAAATGAATAATTACTTTGTATTACTGGCTTTTCTAGCACCGTCTACAGCTGCTTGATATTCACCCAAATGAACAAGTGTAGATGCTAATCTTGCCCAATTTGAAATGCTTTGGAATAGGATTTTGGCTGATTCATAGAGACCATCTTCATAGCAACGTTCACCAACAATTTGAATTTGTGCAACATTTGGTGTGTTCAAAAATTCCTCGAGATCATGGAATTTTTCAGTTTTCGCATATGCAAAAAGAAGTTCATTATCAACTGTAGGTTCACGTAATTTCTTACGGCACATTTGCAAATATCTTACAAGATCTTCATGTTTTTCAGCACGTGATGCTATACTGATAACTTCTGAAAAATTACTAGGGTCGTCAGCACGAATATAAGAGTCTGGAAAAAAAAATTTTTTTTTTAAAGGGACATGTTAGTATTAAATAAAAAAAAAAATAATCATTAACATTTTTTTTTTGAAATAAAACAAACCAATTGAATCTTTAATTCTTAATCCAGTAATTTGTGCTTTAGCCAATCTACTCCAAACTTCGGGAGTGTCACATTTTTCTGCAAATTCAGCTGCGCGGTCAAGACTAGCAATATGTTCAACCAACACACTTATAGCATTTGCGTGATCATTATGTTTTTTGTAGATGGCGAATGCTTCTTCATATAAATTAGTTTTTATAGCAATATCTGCAACTTCGGGCGCATCAAAGTTGTTGAGTTTATTAACAAAATCCATCACTTTAGCTTTATCGGCCTTTATATCAAATAAAAATAGATATAGATGTGTGTGTGTTAATATAGATATTTATAGACAAAGCATTTATGGAATAATGATTAATTACCCTAATAGCTGTAAGAATGAGTAAATTTTGAAGAGTTTTTTGATCACTAAATGCAGTATTTTCAAAAATAAGTTTTTCTAATAATCCAATAAGCTCCAATGGTAAATCTGCTGCCATAAAAGCTTTCACTGTGACAGAAACATCTTCTGGATCGGTAGTTTCTGGTAAAGCTACAGCATTGACCTTTTTTCCAAAAAAAAGACCATATATATATATGTATATTATTAATTAATAAAAGGATTATATTTTTTTCAAATAAATATTAAAATCATATTATAATATCTACACTATACCTGTTCAATTAAAGTCCTACGATGCATATTATTACTATTTAATACATGTGCCCAAAGCTGAGGATCGCGACGCTTTACCAAATAACGAGCTTGATGTTTAAACATAGTATTATCATTGGTTATCTTAACAAGTTCCAAATCACATTGTCCGCGTTGATAAGCAATAAAAGCAAGATGGGGATCACGTTTTTCACAATATTTTCCAACAACCATCGAATCATAATACTATTAAAAAGATAAATACATATTGTTATCATTAATATTAACAATCATATTTGTAATTAAAAATTAGTCTAAACAATGATATTTGATAAAAACGAAATCTAAATATACATACTGGATTGTCTCTAAGGAAACTTTCTGGGTCAGTGTTGCTATCAATACGAATTTTAGCCACAGCATTATAAAGTTCAGGGTCTTGACTTCCTTCTTGGACACGTAATTCCAACCATGGTAACAACAATTTAAGACGATTTCTTTTTTCAACTTCTTGAACGAGTTGATCAATAGGAACGGTTCCAGTTACTGATAGCAATAAATTTTTAATGATATTTTCATCACAATCAACATCCAACAAACCACCAATAACGGCTGGAGTACGTGCTGAATTAACTTTCTGAACATACACTTCAATGTATTTTGTTAAATTTTGTTGATATAAATATAAAACTAAATCATGTACATAGTCAAATCGATCACAGACAATAATCAATGGAAGTTGATCTTGAAGTTTAGCTTCCTAGATAAAGTTTATGGGTAAATATATACGTGAGTGAGTAATGTATATATATTAGAAAAAAGCATTCCAAGGTAATTTTTTTAAAACAAAAGAACCTACTTTTAAAAAGTTTTTGACTTTTTCAGGGTCATAATATTGACTTTCACGACATATTCTTTCAACTTCTTTAACCTGTCCTGTTTTAACAGCTGCCTGAATATATTTGAAATGTACGTCAGGATCAGTACTAAGGTTAACAATTGAACCAAGATAATAATAAAGGCCTAATAATAATAATGTGTAAATGTTAATTACAGACATGGATGGAAAAGAAATAAAATGAGACCATTATTTTTTTCGTTTGCAAATAAATACCTTCGTGAGTTTTAAAAGACTCAAACAATTGAATCAAATTTAACGGTTGTAATTGTTCTGAATATTTTGTAGCAATTTGTATTACTACTTGTAAGTTCTGTCTAATATTGGCTTTGAGCATTTCTTTTAAACATTCAAGTGAATTTTCAACTGAAAGATTTCCAAAATAACTGACAACAAACTAAGTAAAGTCAACAAAAATTAAATCATAAATTAATAAAGAGCCAAAAATAGAGGTACAAATAATCAAGAAATGAACTTACATCAGAGGGTAAAGTATGAGCATGTATAATTATACGTTTAATATCATTGATATCATCATAATGTTCTAAGGCCTAAATAAATCAAAACAATTAACAATGATTAGCAATCATCATAATAATAGTAACAATAAATAAATCACCATGCATACCTTTTGAAGTAATCCAGATTTTTCACATAATTGCGCAATTGTAGGTTTGTCATAATGAGTAAACATATTATTGCCAAGAATAGCATCTGCCACTTGAGGAGCATGCAATAAATTCATTTCAAGTAAACGTGTTTGAAGATGCCCATGTTCTGGTTTATTGTCTTTTAAAGCGTCAAGAAGAAATGATGTTGCTTGTTGAATCATATTTTGTGACATAAATACATCAACAATCTAAAATATAATTAATTAATTAAATAAATTATATCACGATATCTATATTTATAATATTAAATAAATTGTTTACATACTTTTTCAATATCAACCAAAGGTCCACCTTCATCATTTGCCAATGCGGTAGCAAGTTCTGCACCTTTGTCAGGATTACTTCTCATGACTTTTTGTAAAAGGGAAGAATAATCTGGCTGGAATCCAACTTTTTTTGCGTAAACAGTTATTTTTGAAAATTCGCCTTTCTCAATAAAGCATTCAATGACCTAATTTTATTGGGGATAAAAACAAAATAAGCTATTTTTAAATTAAAAATTATTCATTTTAAATGTATAAATGCATGTATTTTTTTACCTTAATAGGAGCGTTGGCACGAAGATAAATAGATAGTGCCAATGTTAAATCAAATGGTCTCACATAATCACCAAGTTCTTCACTACAATGAATCTACAAATAAAATATAATTATTGATTTTAAAAATCGTAATTGAACCATAGATATAATTTATAAAAGTTCCAAATAATTGTGAATGGTTATCATTGTACCTTATCCTCTCTCAACCATTTCTCTAATAATTCTTTTTTGTTTTGAGTCATAACAGGTCGTGCCAACTCTAGTGATTCTTGTTTATTGAGATTGCCTTTCTCTAACAAAATAGTAAAATATTGTTCAAATGGTAATACATCGCCAGGAGGAACATTAACAATAACTTTTAGAAGATCAATTGTTCTTTGTGTACGAAGAAACCCCTAAATTTAATTTCAGGTCATGAATATATCAATTTTGTAAATTCAAAAACACCTAGTTAATTGATTAATCATTTAATTTTAAAAAATTTTTAACTTACATTTGGCGAATTAGCAGCAAGTATTGCGGCTTCAGTGTAATCTCCTGCTGAATATAAATTAGTAAACTTTCGTAAAATTAAATCTTCAGCACCATTCAAATTGCACCTTGTAGCTATGCTGATAACTAAGTCAGGTTTATCTTTATATAGGTCCTTAATATAAGGGATAATTTTTGTTTCATCAACAGATACAGATAAAACCTATAAAGATTTTTTTTTAGGATTTAATGAACTGGTAATTTTTATTTGAAGAAAATCTTGCTTGAGTGATTCTTTGTCCATCACATAATAATACTGTATTTTCATTATTTCATGATATTTTAGATTAAAAAGGACTTCTTCCTTTGAAACACCATTTCCATTAGCATGTAAATAATCCCCCAAAAACTACATGCAAACAAAAAATATTTATTTATAACTGTATATTATTAAAAAATTATTTATTTATTTATTTATTTAATCTTTACCTTTAACCATTTATAGACAACTTCTAATTCTTCGTCGTTAAGTGGTTTTAAATCTGAAGGCTTGTCAGATAATGGAGGAATTAGAATTTCCTCAAGAATGGTTTCTATTTCCTTCCAAACTCTTGTCATAACCATTTTAAACACAGCCGGATGTAATGAATGAAAGAGTGTCTTCAAATTTACATCAAAATAATCAAACAAAGGGTGTATTGCTTGTTCGATTTCTAAATCTGATTTCTTCGTCTGTACATCTGATTCACGAAAAAAATGTTTAAAAGCGCTGGCTGAAGGCCTTAATAATCTATTAATCACTTCACGTGATAAACATTGTCGCAAAAATGGAGACATCTATTTTTTTTTTAAAAAAACAATAATTATAAAATTGATAATAATACTAATAATAATTAATATTGATAGGTAAATTATTATTGTACTTGCTCTGTCAACAATAGTTCTTGCCATATCATCATGTGCTCGTTTTAGTGTTCTAAATGTTTTTCCAAAATAAAACTGCAAATCATCCTTTTCGCCTTCCATGCTAATACGCAAAAAAATACGACCTTGAGGATCCAGATCAAGCCATATATCATGAGCTAAGTAATCACTATAGTCTTGAGGATCAAGCTTAAAATAGGTTTTTCCACATTCATCATCCGAACTAACTTGATCGCTATCCCAGATTGTTAATGTAAGCCAATTTTGATCAGTTGAATCAATAGTTAAATCGAATGCCTCATCCCAACGAGGATTTAAACTTTCATAAATTACACGTGTTCGCGCTAAAATATTATTATCTTTATCACTAATTATACAATAAGGATCACTTAATCCATTATTGTCAAGTGCTGCCAAGTTTTCAGCCATAACAATTTTGATAGTATAAAAATATTTTGGTACTTCAACTGGCTCCAGAGTTGGAGGAGTTGACTCATTAAGAATTTGTGTTAAATAGTCAACACCCATTGAGTCGTATAATTTATCTAATTGTTCACGTGCGGCTTCAATATTGTTTAATTTAATACAAGACTGAAAATTGGCAACATTTTTAGAAATCATATGTATAAATTAATATATAACCAAAAAAAAAACATATATATATATATTACCGCAGGTTTAATGTCAAAAGGTGCAACTTTTTGTGTAGCTATTGCGGTTTTCACATTGACATACCAAGCAGATTGCTTTGAAGTTTCTTGTTCAGGATCCTTCATCACTGCCATCTCATTTTGATAAATTTCTTCTATTACAGAACAATACTGTTCTAATGCTTTACTAATAATCTTAAATAAGTTATGTTTTTAATCATAAATTGGTAAATATAAGTTTATTATTAATGATAAAATCAAATGAACATTTATAACAATTACCTTGGATAGATTAGTCATAAATTTTGCAGACTGATATTCATTAGGCCAGTTTAATGATTTAATAAAATCAATTGTTTGATTAAATGAAGTAAATAAATCTATTACGGAAGATGAATGATAATCTGTTGAACTGGCTGGTATAAACTGTGTGTGTGCGTGCATGCGCGCGCGCGTGTGTGTGTGTGTGTGTGTGTATGAGTGAGAGTGTGTGAGTATATGTTTAACATTTTTAAAGATAATGATTGATTAATTAATTAAGAAGGTAAAATTTATTTTTTACTTTATCCACATCAATAGCAGAATGAACCCATTCAGGTGTCTTATTGTTTGTGGCATCCAGCCATTTTTTGATATAAGGTCCAAACCATGCTTCAATTCCAAAGGCAAATTTAGACCTACATAAATGAATTATTTAGCGTGTTAGTAAAATAAATTTTATTATGCAGAAATATTATGATTTAACAAATACATACCCATTACAATGATGTTCATATAATATTTTGATTGAAAGGATCTCCCTATAAAGTTCAATAATATCATCAACAGGAATACCTTCTTCTGGTGTCATCCTTACTTTTTTCATAATATCAGCACCTGCATTCTCCAGATCTAATGTTAAAAGTGGTGCTTGTTGTTCGACCACCAAGCTGAGAATTTCCAACTGACTAAGAAACGCATCAGATTTAAGCATAAATGCATTGATTAAAAAAAAACCCAGGCCAGTATATAGAATTATATTGAATATACAAACCCCATCAATGGTTCTGGATACTTTTTGGAAAGCTTATCAATTTCCGCTTGAATCCATCTAGCTAAAATAATTAATGTTTGAACTTCATTTGCAACTTCTTGACCATAAATTTCATTTCGTTTTTCTTGATATATATCAAATGCAACTTTCTTTTAATATCATACATATATAAAATTATATAAAAATAAAAATAAAAATTTTAAGTAACTTGAAGTTGTCAATTAATTAACAAATATATTATAAAAATGATGTTAAAGTAGCATTATATAAATACCCTAATACGTTCCCGTAGTTCATTATAGAAAGCAGAAGTATCAGGATAAGCAGCATGAAACAGCTCATTATCATAAATAGTATCCAGCAGGAAGAAAACTGGTTCAAATAGAGATGTTTTTATTTTAATCAACCCTTCTTTGCCCAATGCTTCTTTCAACCAATCAAGCAAAGAATTGTGAATTCCGATGTATACTTCCACAAGCTCTTTTTTCTGTGATATTTTAAATTTAAAATATAAATATATAAAAATTGCATCATAAGTATAAAAGAGAAAAGTATTTATTTGTATTGAATGAATGAATGAATGAAAGTAGTGAATAAACAAATAAATAAATGTTACATCAGAAATTGTCCAAGTTGAAACATCTCGTAGTTTTGTAGCTTCTTTCAACAAATGAATCCCTTCTCTGATGTGTTCTAATGATATAAGGGGATCCTCAGCATCATAACGAGACCTAATAACATCAAGATATTGTAGCCAACGAAATACCGGAGAAACTCTCCAATGAAGTGCACATACATTTAACAAAGTCAAAGTATTTTTTGAAAGAATTTTACGAGAACTATCTTCTTCTGAACGATGAGACAATTCATATTCTATACATTTATTCATCAATGATTTGTAATAAAGCCGAGGTGTTAAAGGAATATAGATGAATGTTTCAGATTGATTACTCGACTAGTAGATTTTTCCCAAAAACAATAATTATTATTAACAAAGTGCATACATAAATATACACATACAAAATTTTATAAAGCGAACCTCATCATTATTACAATTTTGATTATGTTGTAATGGAGTATTAGATGATGGAGAATGGCCATATGTATGAAGTTGCTGCTGTTGCTGTTGATTATATGGTTGCTGTTGATTATATGGTTGCTGTTGATTATATGGTTGCTGTTGATTATATGGTTGCTGTTGATTATATGGTTGC